ACAGCCTGGAGCCTGGAGCCTGCTTCAGATTCTGTGTCTCCCTCTCTCTCTGCCCCTCCCTGCTTGCTCTCTCTTCCTCTCCCTCTCAAGAATATATAAACATTAAAAAAATTTTTTTAAATAAAAGTTTAAAATACCCAGAGACGATGTCTTCAATCCGAGAATCTCAAAATAAGTCCTGCACCGTCTTATTACTCTGCTAAAAAATTATATACTTATATCCACTCACGGTGCACAGGAATACAATATGCTCTTCAAACTTGGGAAAATTCCATTTGGAATTCTAGCAAAACTGGCTCTCTTCCCATTTTGGCATAAAAGCATCATGTGTTCAGCTCCCTCTCTGCCACTTCCTCTCAGCTGAGCCCTTCCCCAAGGAGCTGGCTCCCAGCACAGAAAGAAGGGAGGAGGAAGAGGAAGCCTGCAACCACACAGGAGTCTCTGCCCAACTTGAAAGTTCATAGAGAAACCCTTTCACGTTTCCTCTTTCAATTCAACAAATGCTCTAGCAGCCCACAGTTCAAACAGAAATATAAGCAAAATCTTCCAAAACAGATTCAAGGCATTAACAAGAGGGGAAATGTGGAAGACAGCATAAACTACAGCTCCAAGTTTCCTGGTGTGTCAGCTTATACAGGTTGTTGAACAATCGGTGACCTCAGAGTTGCTCAAGCAGGTGAAAGTCTTTGTGGTTTTTTAAGATATAAAAAATTTAAATCTTCACCCTTGTTTCTGGGAACAGACTCTAGTTAACAAGCTGAAAGATACTGGAAAACAAATGCCACGGAAGCTTTTAATTTCAATAAAATTGAAACACTGTTACATTACAAAACTGCTGTCTAAAAACAAGATCATTCTCTGGCATATCTTCTCTGAATAAGATTATGCCTCTTACTTTCCAAATGCAACAGTAATAATAATTTATTTGTACATGTACCGAATCTCATCTAAAGCTCACAAAACACTGAGTGAGTCAGAGTATCCTAACTGTCCTTTAATAGCTTTTTAAAGGAGGAGAGACTTAGGAGATTCAGAGACTTGCTCAACTAGCTGCCATCCTTATCAGATGACTCCAACACCTAAGCTCTTACCTTTGTCCTTTGACTTGTAGGTATGCTGCCTTAAATCCCGTCAGGAAAACATCTATCTAAATACAATCCATAAAATATAAATTCATGTTTTGGAACATGCAAGGAAAAAAAAAAACCTTTAAAAGGTAACAGTAAAGCTGATGCAAGCAATCACAATAGTGGCTAACCAGAGCATTATCTCCTAATCAGGCATGTTGCTAAGCTTTACAAGATTTAAATATGGTCCCACTTCAGGGACCATTACCTCCATTTTTCAAGTGAAGAAACCAGAGGCCTAAGAGTTAAGAATGTGGCCCCTGTAAGAAAGGCCACATATGGCCTTGTAAGAAATGGAACCATATCGGCCTGGCTCTAGACAATAATTTTCTTGGCTATGCTAAATTTACTGCTCCATCCTCAGATTTTACATGCCTTCTAGCCTGCTTGGTGGATGCCTTCTTGAGGTTGAATGATCCTACCCTCTAGCAACACTTCTCTCTGTTTCTAGTCTCATACTCATCAAGCAACTCTCCTGATATTAAACTGGTTTTCCAAGCCCATTCTCTACTTCAAAAAAGGAGAGCTGACCAGTCATAAAAGATAAAGTAGATACACTTGGCAGTGATTATCTTTTAGAGTAAAATTTAAGACCAGGCATTTTGGTTTTGAACATTAAATTGACCATAAATTTGGTTCCCCTAACTAATCATGAAGGCACCAATATCCTTTTCCGAGGATCATCATAATAGAGAAAAATCATCAAGTCAGGCGTTAATCCTATATAAGCTCAGGTCATGATCTCATAGTTCGTGGGTTCGAGCCCCGCGTTGGGCTCTGTGCTGACAGCCAGCTCAGAGCCTGGAGCCTGTTTCGGATTCTGTGTCTCCCTCTCTCTCTGATCCTCCCTGCTCATGCTGTCTCTCACTCAGAAATAAATAAAACATTAAAAAAAATTTCTTTTAAAGGGGGAGAAAAGCCTTATCGCAGCAAATCTGTCAAAATCTCTAAGTCCCATAAGTATCTACTAAGGAGGATATTTTATTTGTTCTGAATAGTTGGAGTCAACTTTGTTTTTTTTTAATTTTATTTTTTAATGTTTTATTTATTTCTAGGAGAGAGACAGCATGAGTAGGGGAGGGTCAGAGAGAGAGGGAGTCACAGACTCTGAAACAGGCTCCAGGCTCTGAGCTGGCAGTCAGCACAGAGCCCGACGCGGGGCTCAAACCCACGAACCGTGAGATCATGACCTAAGCGAAAGTCGGACACTTAACCGACTAAGCCACCCAAGCGCCCCATTTGGAGTCAACTTTGAAAGAGGACTGACAGTAATGCAGATGTCAAGTTCCGGTTGCTTTTACGGTATACTGTGAGGATCCTACAGGGTAGCACCCAGTCATTTGAAGACAGATGCACTCTGATATCTGCCATAATGCTGCAAATAAGCATAACTCATCAACATTTGATATAGATATTGACAAATAATCCTTTTGGTACTTTAAGAAAATATTACATGGGGCGCCTGGCTGGTTCACTCAGCAGGGCACGTGACTCTTGATCTCAGGGTCATGAGTTCAAGTCCCATGTTGGGTGTAGAGCTTACTTAAAAAAAAAAAAAAAAAAAAGGGGGGGCTCCTGGGTAGCTTAGTCAGTTAAGTATTCAACTTTGGCTCAGGTAATGATCTCACAGTTTGTGAGTTTAAGCCCTGCATTGAGCTCCATGCTAACAGTACAGAGCCTGGAGCCTGCTTTGAGTTCTGTGTCTCCCTCTTTTCTATGCCCCTCCCCTGCTCATACTTTGTCTCTATCTCTCTCAAAACATAAATAAACATAAAAAAAGTTTAGGGACACCTAGGTGGCTCAGTTGGTTAAGCTTTTGACTTTGGCTCAGTTCACGGTTCATGAATTTGAGAACTGCGTCTAGCTCTGTGCTGACAGCTCAGAGCCTGGAGCCTGCTTCGGATTTTGTGTCTCCTTCTCTCTCTGCCCTTCTACTCCTCACTCTCTGTCTTCGTCTCTCAAAAAATAAACAAACATTAAAAAAAAAATTAAAAATAAATAAAATAAAAATAAAAACATAACAGACTCACAGAATCTTAATTCTGAAAACAATCAGAACCTCTCTCAGTTGGAGAGAAAAGGCTCCTCTCTCTAAATTTCCTTGGGAAATTTAGAGGCTAAAAGATTTAAGCATCATGCACAAACTGGAACGAACATAAACAAAATTTCTTATTGAAAAGCAGTGAATTAAAGAAAATAAAATCAAAGAGAATCAAAATCTTTTAAAAAGAAAAGTATCTTTTAGCCTCATTTTATACACAGATCAATCATAAATTACATCCTTTCCCTCTTGCAGAAGAGGACTCACACCATAGCAGATTAGGTCTTTTCTAAAATACACACTCATTCCTTCAGGCGGACACACAACCATACTGTTCTTTCCTTTTACATTCGACTCTAGATCACATCACCTAACTGAAGTGTTTTCACAAAGTTTCACAAAATTGCTGAGTCTCAGCAAGTTTAGCATGTTTATTAATCCTTACCCCAATGAACCTACTTCTAGGGAAAAAACAGAGGTACCATAAACTAAAGGTAAGCTGACCTTTCTTTTAAAAATTAGAAAAGAGAGTCTAGAATTTTTACTGCTTCTAAGACCCTCCAGAAGAGGGGATACTAGCTATGCATGCAGTGGATTAGGACCTGATCATCAAGCAATGCCAGTGGTTCTCAGCAGAGGCCACTGGAAGGCAGGCTTCAATGTCAGAAATAAAAAGAAATGTGGAATGCATATTTTAGAGATAACCTAAAATCTCCCCTAAGGAACTCCAATGGAGGAAGGAAAGGGTTAATATTGTATATAACTTTAGATTTATCCAGTACATCCCCTATGTGTATCCACAGTCAGCGTGTGTATCTGGGAGATGACAAGGAACAATTTGATGTCACTCTTAATAGAGGGAAAAAACTTAAGTCTTGAGAAATCCAATGGCTTTTATGGTCCTTCTGACAACTGACAATTTCTATTTAGAGACTGTTTTGCAAAGCTGCTTGGTCCACAGACACGAGCATGGAGAACCAATGCCAGCCAGGCCTTTCATCCAGGATTAACTAATACTATGGCTTTCTGGTTAGTTAGATTTGGATGCTCCAGAACTCAACCCAACAATTACACTGACAAAACCATTTCTAACCTGCAAAGCTGCTGACCACCTATACCGTGCAAATTCTACTCATGGGAGACCCCTGATGTCCAGTTTGAAGCACCTGTTGGCTAGCTACAAAACTGAGAAAATTTTCAGTTATGTATAAATAAGGTGATCTCTTCTTTCACACTCTACCCCACTCCCTCTTTCTCTTTGCCTGCCTTCTTTCTTCCTCTCCTCTCTGCTTCCCCCACCCACAATGGTATGCACCAGGGATCAGCAAACTTCTATGTAAAGGGCTGGACAGTAAATAGTTCAGGCTTCTTAGGCTCTGCCATTGTGGCACAAAAGTAGCTATAGATAATCCATAAATGAATGGGTGTAGCTGTGTCTCAATAAAACTATTTATAAAACCAGGCAGTGGGCCAGAGTTGGCTTATAAGGATATAGTTCATCAAACCCTGGTACAGAGTAGCAGTTCTCAACCTTTAGCCTGCATCAGAATCATCTACAGAATTTGTGAATACACAGATTTCTCAGCCCCATCTTTAACATTTCTGATGCACCAAGTCTGTAGTGGGGCCTGAGATTTCGCATTTTTCATAAGTTCCCAAATGACGATGATGTTGCTGGTCTACATGTCACACTTTGAGAACCACAGGTATAGAATAATGGTCTGTCCTGCACTAAGTGGAAGGTTGAAATGTAATGAACAATTAGGAAAGTGGAAGTTACATGCTGTAAAACTATCTGCTAATTTTATAGAACATTTCATATGAAGACTTACTGTTAAGTGCCATAATATTATCTGTTCCTGGATGATGGAAATTTATTCCCATGCGTCCTGAAAAATAAAATAATTTTATTTTAAGCACAAAGAAAAGAATGCTTAATATAATCATTTCAAATACATGGTAAAAGATGAACATTACAAAAAGCTGTAACAGATTAATCTAGAACAATGCTATCAAAGGCCATAGCAGTTACAATGATTTTTAAATCAAGTCATAAAACATACAAATGAAAAAAAAATCTTAAAGCCAAAATCTCAATACCAAATAAAAAAACAAAACAAAAAAGAAGCTTCCAGTGTAATAGTGTGAAATTTTAAAGCATTTCTTGCATTCCAATTTAAACATGCCAACTGGATTAAGCATTTTACTTAAACAACCATTCATACTGCCCTTCAAATTCAAGCAGCAAAATAATAAATTCAACGAAGTATATAAACTTGAAGCTTAGAGGGAATAAAAAGTATAAAGGTTCCAGGGTGACTCGAAAATGCAACCTAATTATCAGAATGGCAACTAGAAGAAAGATGGTCAAATTTATATAACAGGGACAACGGGGAATGATGACTGGCCTAAAAACTCGAGGGTTCTTATGTGCCTCCCCTGCTGCTAACTAGTTATATGACCTTGGGTATAATGCTCATCACCAGACCTTCATCCTTATAGTCACAGGGTTGCAAACTTCTGCCCACCCTGGCTGGCTGCCTGTTTTGCTATTACCTCCGAGCTAAGAATCATTTTTACATTTTTAAAGGGTTTAAAAACTAAAAAACAAAGAATATGCAACAGAGACCATATGAACCACAGACCTAAAATATTTATTCTCTGTCCCTTTCAAAGTTTGCCAACCCCTGGTCATGAAGATGATAAGTCTGAATCAATGTTTTAAACCCAAAAGCCTCCAGTTAAAAGTGGATGATGTAAAACGGTATGTTTTTCATGAATTATTTGGGAACAGGACACGGATGTATTAAAAGAATAATGAAACAGAGAGTTTGAAGTGGAAAAATAAACGTATACTTAAGTTTGTTTGCTTGACCAATCTCTTCAACAAAATAGTTACTAAAACAATGCTTTTGTGTAAAGCTAATATACACGAACTTGGTTCTGCAAGGTCTTCAGGTCCAATTATGTGAAGGGTTATTGTGAAATTCTCAGAAAATTGTCAATTTTATGTTATTACTACTGTTGAAAAAATACATCAACAGTATGGAGGGGGGCATCAGAGAAAGCCAGAGCTATGGAGATTATTATGATATGGTGATTGACTTTTCAACAAATACAGTGCTCTATATAATTGCAAAAGGTCAGTTGTCATTTGGTGTTAATCTCTGTTATGGGGTACTAGAAGCAAACATCAGTATCAAGCTCTTCTGGACCAAAAGAGAAGAATCACAGTGGCCAAAACAGAGCATTTGCTTCAAATAAAAAGGAAGAATCACTAATTGTCAGCCAAATTAATGTTTTGCCTAGACAAGGCCACCCTAATCTCTTAAAAGCCCTCAGGTCACAGTAATTTGTGAAAGGTCATTTCATATTAAAAGGCAGGGAAAAAACAAAACTCTCATAAGTGTAACATTACTTGTATTGATAGGTGTGTGTGTGTGTGTGTGTGTGTGTGTGTGTGCGCGCGCATGTGAGAGAGAGAGAGAGAGTAATTAAGAATAGAAAAATCATCAACAATTGATGGATTCTGATGGGGCTATTCTAATCTTACTATGAAGCATTATATGACTTTCCATAAAAATTACTTTTAGTTTTTATTATTTTAAACTTCCTTATTTGGAGGAAGATATTACATCTATCTCTAATTTCATGGAGACTTTTGCTAACACTAATATTATAGTAAAATTATTTTTTAGAATATATTTTAATGTTTTCTAAGGAAAAATTATCTTATTAGTAAACAACCATTTTTTAAATAATAGAATTGACTATTTTATTTTTTTATTGATTTACTAGATCGTTTCATAACTAGAAGCTAAGTATTAGGAGTTTCAAAAACTACTCTTTGTTCAAAGACACATTTAACAGTATCTATATATGTAATTACTCTATGTGTTTTATTTTTTCCCAGTTCTTAAGCCATTTTAGAGTCTAAAAATTACAGTCTACCCCAGAGGCTACAAGTGCTATCTCCTACAACACCTTGAGCAGAACCTATAATACAAAAATGTGTCATGAGAAGAATGACTCAGTAGAGTTTACATTCTGGTTTTAGTTAGCTGCATCAGTATTCTCTCCATTTTTTTTTTTTAATGTTTTATTTATTTCTGAGAGAGAGAGAGAGAGGCAGTATGAGCAGGGAAGGGTCAGAGAGAGAGGGAGACACAGAATCTGAAGCAGGCTCCAGGCTCTGAGCTAGCTGTCAGCACAGAGCGCGACGCGGGGCTCAAACCCACAAACCGTGAGATCATGACCTGAGCTGAAGTCGGATGTTTAACCAACTGAGCCACCCAGGCGCCCCTTCTCTCCATTATTTTTTGATAATCAAGACCTGATTTGGATTCATTACCACCAGATACTAACCTCTATAAGAACTAGAAGTGATTTACTCATTGTATTCCAAGATACTCAAATTTAACAGTAATACTCATTGGAAAATAAGCCTGAAAACCCAACAAGAGTTTGAAATCACTGCCCAACAAAACATAAGGAAAAGGCAAATAGAGAGGGTCTTTTCAATCTCTGACCAAGGAATATTCGGACATGGGTATGGTTCCTAAAAAGCTCAGGGTGTTCCCTAGAATAATAAAGCATTATCAAGAAAATCAAGCAAGCTCAAATTTAGTTGATTCTCATTCAACTTATTTTATTTCCAATGCTATGGGGGGAAAAAAAAGTATGTGGTTTACAAGCACTACATCAAATAATAGTTTTTATATGTTTCTTGGACTACTGGTGTTCCCACACTTAAAGGGGTGCTCCTTTCTGTAGTTCCCAGAAGTTGGGTCCTTTTTGGACCCTTTCTCTAAGATCTTAGGACTCTTCAGTTTGAAAAGATGAAACTGAAAGGAAGCTCAGTAGTTTTCCAATTACCCTCCTCTAGCCCACACTGATTACTTCCAATTCAATCTTTCTAAACAAAGATGCAGAGAAAAAAAAAGCCTTAAGCAACGTTTTATACATGAAGGTATCAGTTTGCTGAAAAGCAGAAAACTTTTTGCCTTTCCTGGTATCTTCCCTAATTCTGCTGGCCTCCTGACTTCAGCGGATCTCTGGATCAAAACATCCACAAAAGATTTTATAAGAAACTCTGTCACACCAGACCCATCAGAATCAATTATTTAAATGCAATCTAATTGTCTCCCAACTAAATGCAAATTCTTTGTAGCAAAACAACTTATGGCTTCTTTAAGCTATTTTCTTTACCTCTTCAAAAATTAATGTTTAGATTATAAAACCCAATATATTTTCACTGGTGAAAAATTAGATAATACAGAAAAATGCAAAAACTAAGATCACCAATTAAAGACAAGCTCAGCCAACATTTTGATTTATAGCCTTCCAGTTTAAGAGGTGTATATGTGTAAAAGTTCTTTTCTAAAATTAGAATTATTTTTTATTTTTTTCTTAATATATTTTGCATCTTAAATTTTACGGTTATTATGAGATTTTGGAAAAGACAGAAATATATAACAGCAAAAAAAAAACTGATTCCAGATTCAGATGAGGCCATTTATATTTTTCTTCTTTTATCCAACAAATACTGCTGTTTAATCAGCTGTGAAAATAGAATCAAGTGTGTGACATCTGGTGATTTTTGTTAATGCAGTCTGGTGCTGCCAGCGTGACATTTTGTCACCTGTCCATGGTCTGCTATTTTTAAATTGTTCTTGTCAGCCAGCTATCTTTTAAGTATAGTGTAAAATATAAGGTTTCGAAAACTGAAAGGCATACTTGGCTTTACTGAGTTAAATGATGCTGTGGAAATCTGAGACTGCCCCACTTTCCCCACTGCACAGGGACTGATAAATGGGGGTAACAGGGGATGGGGGGAAAGGTTGCAGAATAGGGTTACACAGGTTTATCCAGACTGCAAAAATTAGTTTCATAAGCTCCAGTCACATTTGTATTTAAGAAGCTAGTTATAAAAAAAGACCTCTGTTATTCAAAATTTCAGAGTCCAACCAATCCATACTTTTATATGCACCAAATAAAATTGGAATTTTTATGATTTCATAATTATGAAAGTAACCTCTTTACTTCTGCAATATGTTATGAGATATGGAACAACTACTGTGCCTTTCTTTAATCACCCACATTTGCTCTAAAAAGTCAAGCCCTTCAGAGACTTTTACATAATAGACCGTAAGTGCTGTGTTCTAGAAAATGTTATAAGAAAAATGCATATTCTGCTGGGTTGTATCTTCCACCAATTTTCTCTATAAAATTGAAGATACATTCCTTCAGGAAAAGTATCCACAAGATGCAATGTTATGCAAGAATATAATAAAATGGTGTTTTAAAGCCCTTTTAAAGAAAAATGATAGAAGTTTGGCATTAAAATATTATTCTAACTACGTTCCAAAGAATTGAGAAGCAAAAGCTGTGAGCTTAGAACTGAGGTCAAATCCTAGTTTCTTTTCATACCAGGAGTGGATAATTTTTGGCATGTTATTCATTCCTTTGTGTCTAGGTTTCCTCATTTCAGGCTGTACTCTAGAACAGTTAATACCAGAATTTCTTTTAAAACTCTCAGGTGATTACACTGCTATGTAAGAAAGATCGCTGGGTAAATTAATGGGAGGTACTTAAAAAAAAAATCACTCAATGTATTTACTGCCCCCTCTTGAAGAGAACCAGAATAATCACTTCTTGCTAACTTAGAATCTATGTCCCAAACAATTTCTGGACTCTGCTAACTTTTATACAAGACAAACTGATATGGGCCAGAGGTAGCATAAAAATAGAACTGGAGCAACAATGCAAGTAAGTAAAGAGACAGCATATTTTTCTGGAACTAAATGTAATTAAGGTGCACTTTTTCTGAAACAAGAGAACCTCAACATTCCACAAAAGGGCCCAATTTTTGTGATGAATAAAGAAAAAT